TGGGTTTTGTTTCTGCTGCTTCAGCCTAAGGATATGAATAAGATGCTTAGAGCAGTGCGGCCTACCATTTGTCCACTCAGCTCTTGACCTCGATTGGCTAACAACAGACTGGCTGGATCCAGGTGGTGGTAAACGTCTCCTTGAGAGGGGAAGTGGTCCTGGTTGTTTCTCAAGAGGTGGTCAATAGACTGCTACAGAAGTTCTATGTGGATCCTAACAATTGTTCCAACTATTGGTCCCTCACAAATAGGGAAATGGCGGAGAAGCTGAATGCATTTTTTCCCTCTGTATTCACTGTGGAAGATGAGAAGTGCTTGCCCACTCCAGAACTGCTGATTTCAGGAGGGGTGTTGAAAGACCTGAGTCAGATTGAGGTGACGAAAGAGGGGGTCCTACGACTGATAGACAATTTAAAAACCGATAAATCACCAGGCTTGGACGGCATACATCCAAGAGTTCTGAAAGAACTCAAATGTGAACTTGTGGATCTCCTGACAAAAATATGTAATCTTTCATTAAAATCTGCCTCCATTCTTGAGGACTGGAAGGTAGCTAATGTCCTCTCATCTTTAAAAAGCGTTCCAGAGGAGATCCAGGAAATTACAGGCCAGTCAGTCTGACTTTGATACCGGGTAAGTTGGTGGAAACTGTTATTAAGGAAATAATTAGTAGGCACATTGATGAACAAAAACTATTCAGGCAGACTCAGCATGGGCTCTATAAGGGAAGATCTTGTCTCACTAACCTGTTAGTGTTCTTTGAGGGAGTGAACAAACATGTGGACAAGGGGGACCCAATAGATATTGTTTACCTTGACTTCCAGAAAGCTTTCGATAAAGTTCCTCGTCAAAGGTTCCTAAGTAGGCTCAATAGTCACGGGATAAAAGGACAAGTCCTTTTGTGGATCAAGAACTGGCTAATTAATAGGAAACAGAGAGTGAGTATAATTGGGCAATTTTCTCAGTGGAGGGTGGTAAGCAGTGGGGTACCGCAGGGATCAGTACTCGGTCCAATGCTTTTTAACTGTTCATTAATGATTTGAAGTTGGGAGTAAGCAGTGAAGTGGCTAAATTTGCAGATGACATGAAGTTGTTCAGGGTGGTGAGAACAAGGGAGGATTGTGAGGCACTCCAAAGGGATCTGTCAAGGATGGGTGAGCGAGCATCAACATGGCAAATGGGTTTCAATGTGGCAAAGTGCAAAGTGATGCACATTGCAGCCAAAAATCCTAACTATAAATACACGTTGATGGGATCCGAAGTGGCAGAGACTGACCAAGAGAGAGATCTTGGAGTCGTAATAGATAACTCAATGAAAATGTCTCCTGGATCTGTCAAGGGATTTTGATACCACTGCCTGCTTTTGTTAGGTGTACCACATCACAGTGGTCGTGTTCCTGCTTGGAGGGCAGACTCTGAATGCTGGTATTGGAGGAATGCTGGTCTGCTCCTTGACATTTATCCTGTGAGCTTCCGTGTTGTTTTAACATCTGCATTTGGGAGTTAAGTGATGTCAGTGTGACGCCCATCTGTATTTCTTGTTTTCTGAGTCAGATTAAGTTAAATAAATGGAATCTCAGTCCAGACAGGTGGTGTTGTTCAGCTGGTTATTAGACAAGGTGGTTCCTCCCCCAAAGGACCTGATCTGCATCTTGAGAATATTTCTAGATCTATCCTTGTCATCAAAAGCTCTGTGGCTTGAAGGGCCTTTTGCCAGCTCTGGTTGGTGTGCCCGCTACCCCCTTTCTTGAAAAGGAAGAAACTTAACATAGTTATCCAAAGTTTGTTCACATCCAGGTTAATTCTCTGTATGCCAAATTACTTTCAAAAACCTTTTGGAAACTTCACCCAGTGCAGAATGAAAGATGGGAACAACATATCATGACCATTTCACAAGATCTACTTTGACTTCCAGTTTGCTTCGAAGTCCAATTGAAAGGGCTCGTTTTGACCCTTAAAGCCCTGAGCAGCCTAGAGCTAGGACACTGCCAGAACCACTTTCCCCAATATAAACCTGCCCATGCACAAGCCCTGCTGTCACTCCCTTTGCTCTTAGAGGTAAGGCCGCTGCAGGCAAGGGAAAGGGCTTTTGTAGTCATAGTGGCTATTTTGGTGGCAAGTCCTCTCCAGGAAAGACCACCTGACTCCTTTGCTTAAAACGTTTTCTGCTACATTTAGGCTATATCTGGTGGTGTTTTGATTTCTCCTTGCTGTTCCATTATTATAGTATTTTTTTTTTTAAAGTCTTATTGAGACTGAATTGTTGTGATTATATTTTCTTTTTCTGATTAGATTGTCAGCTGCTTTGGATAAATATTAGGCTAGAAATGCAGGATATACTTAGCTTTTTTTTTTTTTAAGTGATTCTAAATGACAGTATGTTAGTATTATGGGGGCTGAATGCCAGCCACCCTTTCTGGGCTGTACAGCATGTCGATACAAGATCTTTGCCTTGCAAGCTTATAATTTTGCTTACATGGGTAAAACAAAGACAGAAACTTAAGAACAGAAGAAGAGCCCTGCTGGATCAGATCAGTGGTGCATTTAGTCCAGCATTTTGTTTCACCTGGTGGCCAAGCACTTATTCTGGAGGGCCAACAACAGGGCACAGAGGCTGAGGCCTTCCCCTGATGTTGCCTCCTAGCTCTGGGATTTAGAGGTTTACTGTCTCTGAATGTAGAGGTTCCCTTTAGTCCTCATGGCTAGTAGCCACTGATAAATCTGTCCTCCATAAATGATGGGCAGGGGAAATTAATGTGTTGCTTGAACACTTTCAATAGTGATGGCAAGCAAGCGATTTCTTTTGTGAATGTGGGCTCACTTGACAGGAGAAGAAAGCATTTGAAGATGGGGCGAAGGGATCAGGGGTCCGCTCTTGTTCCTTATGAACTGCACAATCAGGAATAAAGCAAGCTCTGAAGGAGCAGTTTTGTGAATAAAACCGCTCTCAGGAGGGGTATGTTCTTAACAGAAGAGGGTTGCAGCGGGCAGAACTGGGGGGGCGGGGTGTTCGTGTGTGTGTTGCTCATCCTATTTGTCCTCAGCCCACAGCACCCAAAGCAACATCCAGCAATTTAAAAGCCATAACACACTAAATCACAACACAATAAAATCCAATTAAATTTTTTCCTCCTTAGCAACAATAGTAATAAAAGAGCAATAAAACCTAATAGCCCCCCTCTCATATAGTGCATGTATATATAAACACGGTCCCCACACAGTACCACCCACTCAAACATCATCTAAAATTAAAATGTGCCCTTCATTACCCTCCCTCCGCCAACATCAATGTCACAATGCACTTAGAAGTATATTCAAAAGTGAGGTGCTTTTCATAGATGGTGTGTGTGTGTGTGTGTGTGTGTGTGTGTGTATGCTTTGCATGAATGTTGTTAACTAGGAAAAAGACTTCCGGTTGAGACCACAGTTTTGAGCTGCCAGCCAACTTCAGCCTCACCTAAGACGACCCGTCTCGAGAACTGGGTGCTCAACAGTCTCTTCCCTGGCAGGAGCCCTTTCCTCCCTTCTCCATCTGCTCAATGCCCAAAAAGCCTTAGGAAAAAATAATCACACTGTAGAAGTCCTTAAGAGAGCTAATTAGTGACTCCTGTTCCTTGGGGGGGGGGGGGGTGTCTGGGTATGAAGTGGAAGAGCCCCAGCACATCTCGGAGATGCCGGCCTTCTCTGTCAGTCTGTCATCGTTGCTGGAGTGCATCTTCCAGGCCTTCCAGGACGAGCCCTGTGGCTGCCATTGCTCCAGGCAGCAGCTTTGCTGAACATGCCTCTATGCATGTGGAGGCAGGGATGGGGCAGGCAAAGCTACTTTGAATAGCCGAGGTGCTGGATTTGCTCCCTTGCAGCACTCTCGAGGCAGGCTGCAAGCTACCTGTGCACTGCAGCTGAAGAAGGCATGAGAGTGAAACCTTCCTGAGCCCTCAGAGGCAAAACAGCCATGCTCCGTCAAGGGGCAGGGGTGGCAATTTGAAAGCATAATGTTTGAGTTTTGGACATACAGAGAGGGACTGGAGCAAAATAAGATGAAGAGAGCATTCATCGGTAGACTTGCCACATTTTGGGTTTCAGCATTTTGTTAAGAAACTTGAGTAAGGAGAGGGTTGGTGATGAAGCTTAGTTAGGTGGGATTGCAAGAGGTATTCAATATGGGAGGGAAGGTACAGTTTTAAATGCCGTTGTTGCTTGGGTGGAGTGGTGGAGGTTCCAGGGGGTCAGCATTTCTCAGAAATCACCTTGGCTACAAACCAAACAGAAAAAGGCTTTTAGCCATCTTTATGAACACTAGGGCTGCCAAGTCCCCCTGGCGGATCGGGCCCTGGGGGGAACCCCACCCCAGTGTGCACGTCACCAGGAAGTGACGTTATGTCGCCGGGCACGCTGGGGGCGGGGCCACGACCATCCAAGGGGGAAAATCTATGTTTCCCCCTTGGATGGTCGTGGCCCCGCCCCCAGTGTGCCCGGCGACATAACTTCACTTCCTGGTGACGTGCGTGCAGCGCACGCGCACGCACGCGTACATAGGATGCCGGACGGGAGTCCCCCACTCCCAACGATTTTCAACTTGGCAACCCTAATGAACACAGGGTGTTCATTGCTCTTAGTATGGATGGCCCCAGCTAGCCCTATTTCTTCAGATCTTGGAAGCTAAATGGGGTCAGCCCTGGTTGCTATTCGGATGGGAGACCACCAATGCAGCCCAGGGTCGCTACGCAAAGGCAGGGAGTGGCAAACCACATCTGTTTGTCTCTTGCCTTGAAAAACTCACTTGTGACTCGACAGCACTTTGTACCACCTGTTTTGTTTTGTTTTTAAAGTTGTACTAGGGAGTTTTTCTCTCCTTTCACAAATGCTCACATACCCTCTTGCGCTCCTGCATGCTTGAGCTCTTTCCTTATCCCCCACCAACCCCCACAGAGTATCTGGTCTAGTCTACTGAAAGAGCCCCCCCTGCATTGTGGCTTTGGAATGTTCTGTCTCCGCTTGCAGGGAGAATAATTTCATCAAGGACTTTCCCCAGCTGGCTGATGCGTTGATGGTGATCCCCCTGCCAGTGGAAGAGCAATGTCGCGGTGTGCTCTCTGAGCCTCTGCCGAACCTTCAGCTGCTCACTGGTAAGAGCTTTGGCCTCTCCATTGCAACATGGACAGTGTGTGTTCGTTTAGAAAATTCGTCTGTCATCTCTCCCAACCTGCTTGAGGTGGTTCACGACTACAATGATAAAACCAACCAAGACGATAAAACCAAATCAATTTAAAAGAAATCATGCCAGTCGGATCAATACGACAAGCCAGTGTTGTTGGGTCCATCCTTTGAGCTTGAGGCTAGGGGCTTGGCAAAGTCCTGGGCCTCCGTATAGCAGAGAACAGTGGTTGGAACTCTGCTGGAGTATTTACATTATATGCTAGTTTTAACTAGCTTTCTTTTTTTTGGGGGGGGGCTGCATCACCCTCCCCAAACTACTTTGAGACTGGATCTCTCCCAGCTGTGATGCCGTTGCTCCCTCTCCTGTTCAGCAGCCCAGGTGTCTCCCCCATTTCTTCTCCTTAAGACTGAGGAAATTACAAAATGCACCTGCCAAGAAGTAAACAATGTCAGGAGAACCTCATACCCCTTTCTTACATTCAGGGTAACCATTAATTTTCCAACAGGAAGGAGGCATGCAAGGTAAGCACAACTGTTTCCCACACTGGGTTGTAAAAGCAGGGCATGCCATGGCTGCTTATCTAGCAGCAACCCTCTCCCATTAAGAAACAAAAGGGGGTATCTGCCAGGTGAGAAACAGCCTGGGTTTGTTTTAATGGCTTCTTTTAATGGCTTGTTTTTTTGTAATGATCACCATATCGATACCTTATTGTTTTAATCTGAAGCCACCTTGAGCAGGACTTCAATGAGGCTGTATAGAAATTTCCTACATTTTTGTTTTAAAAAGTACCCCACCCTCCTAATTTGACTCAGAGGAGTGGGGGGGCTTTGAAACCCGGATCAGGTCCCAGAAGTGACCTCCAGGTGCCTGTCTCTGATCCTTACCATTGTGGTTTTCCATAGGTGGAGGGAGTGTTATGGGATTGTCACTTAACATACTGCCTGCTGGACTCCCCCACCCCACCCCCGTTAGTATAGTTTTGTATTCTTGTTTTTAAATGGGAAAGAAAATTCAGAGCTGGGATCCATCCCCTGCTATCTGAAGTGGTGCTGTCCATTTTACCAAATCAGGTCTCTCCCACTTCACTGCAAGCACAGGACAAAACTAGTACAGACAGCAGAAGTGCAGTGAGTGAACAGTCCCAGTGGGAGTCTAATTTACCCGTAGATAACCAGTATCTGGTGACATCTGCTTTTCTGCCTCAGCTTCTGAGTGTTCAGACTTTCATGACCCTCTTGGTGCATCTGAGGCAGTACACTGTTGCCTATGAAATTTTGTGCTGCAGTAAGCAAATGGTTCAGAGCACTTCCTGCTGCCTTTTTAGACATGACTCATGTGGTCTCCCTCGTTTCTTGCTTTCAGCCATAGATCTACTAATTGGGATACAAGGAAACCCCCCTATGCTGTCAGTGTCACTTGTTGGATGTCATGCGCTTTGTACTGGAAATAATTCACTCCAGCAGAACTCCCCGTTTTTGTGCTGCCTTCAATGATGCTACTTCTTGAAAAGTGCTATCAGTCCCGACAGACACAGCTCTATCACCGGCTTGCCCATGGCAGAAACAGCCTCCTCCTCACCATGGCTGTCAGTATCGCTAAGAACTCCGGCAGTGAGATTGTTGGGGGCTGTGATCTTTGTTATCACAGCGTCCATAGCCCTGGCATGTGCAACAAGGAAAGCAGTCACAGCAAAACCACCATTTCCTTCTCGAGCCACCTCTTCCTCCGTGATGCTGTCTAAACCCCAACTCTCTCTTTGCAGGTGACATTCGGTACGACGAAGCCATGGGTTACCCCATGGTGCAGCATTGGAGGGTCCGGAGCAACCTGTACAAAGTGAAGCTCAGTACCATCGCCCTCTCGGCAGGTGAGAATGGCCATGTCACAGTGACGAGGGATAGGTTTCTATCTAGCACAACTGCTGAAGCTTGAAGTAGTTGATTCTTTATAAAGTCTAAACAGCACAATGTGCATCTTGCCTATCAGCTGTCTGATTTGCAAGATGTTTGCAGAACACACGTCTCTGAGATGCATGTCTGACCCTTTTAACATTTATTTATTTATTTATTGTAAACACTTATTAGCTGCTTTTTCCCCTTGTGGAGCTCAAGGCAGTTTACGATATAAACAAAATTATTATAAACAATAAAACAGTATAAACAAAACAAGTTATAAAAACACAGAAAAGGTCACAATTTTAAAAATTCCAGTTTAGATGGCCACTAAATAAAAACTAAACCAGTCGAATGCAGTCCTAAATAAAACTGTCTTCAACTGCCTCCCGAAGATCGACAGTGAGAAGACCAGGCACACTACCCTGGGGGAGTTGCTCCATTATTGTGGAGCTGCCACCAAAAAGGCCCTCTCTCGTGTGCCCACCAGATGAGCATCTGTGATTGGTGGGACAGTCACGGGGGCCTCACCCTGTAATCTTAATTCCCGGGCAAGAATGTAATGGCAGGTATCCTTCAGATACCCTGGTAGAGCATTAAGATACCACGTAGAACATTAAGTTTCAAGGTTTCTCATCTTCTGGCTGTTTTGACGATTTCCCTAATATACATGTAGGGCTTTTCCTTTATGCTCAGCTTAGTCCTGATTTTCTCAGTAGTCAATCCACACACATTGGAATTGGTTTGGGCAGGGTTCTTCCGCACGTCTGCCCTTGCTCTGCATTTTCACAGTTGTGGAGTCAGTCTGTTTTCTTACGCATGCACCTTAAACAATCAGGATTTTCAAGGGAGGGTGCTGTTGTCATTGGCGGTATCATCAGTAGTGTCACAGCATCACCAATGTTCCCTCTAAACTGTGGAGTCTTGTGAGCAAAAATCCTACTATGTGAGCTACTGGCATTACAGTTGTGAGTGAGCGATTTGGCTACTGCATCAATTAGTTTGCTCTGGAGCCGTCCTTCCTGAGCTAAGACAAAAATGTGTGAGCCAGAGGCTCACACTAACTCAGCTTAGAGGGAACACTGATCACCACCCCCCCTTTTGTGCATGATTATATTGATGTATCAGTATCATGGCTGAAGTTTAAAAAGTGGGAAAGTAACACACACATAGGGATGAAGAGAAAGAGCGGGGACTCAATTAACGCATGAGGCTGTTGGGAGGAAGGGCAGCATTTCCGTGGTAGGGAGCTCCAGCTGCCTATTGGGGAGGATTGATGTAAGTCCCACCCCCACATCTACCTTGGCAAGGGGAAGCCTATAATGGGAACAGTTCCACCAGCCATCTGTTTATGAACCATATGTAAAGTGCTGTGCCCCTTTCAAACCATTCTGCTTTTTTCTGGCACCAGAAGTAACCCCCACATGAACACACAAACCAAGGTTTTTTGCATTTTTTAAAAAAATCAGCACTGAAATATTGTTATATCGATATACCATTGTAATGATAGGTTTACCAGGTGCTTTGAATTCCCAGCTCTCATTTTTTAAAAAAAGTCTCTAGCCCTTTCCCTTGTGGAGATAAAAGGAAAAAGGCATATCTCCACAAGAGAAGTGACTAAAAATTCAAAGAATATGCTAATATACGTCATAATATAGGTAATTTTCTTTTCTTTTCTTTTTTGAGGCAATTAGCTATGACGATTCCATAAGGCCATAAGAGAGCTGTGACTTGAACCCAAGTTTTCCAAGTTTTGGGACAATACAGAGAAATGGCTGATTAGGATGGGCACCTTTCGCTAAAAAAAATTACCTGCCGTTAGTTAAATGCTGGCTATTAGAGCGACACCATCTCATACCATTGGCCCAGTTCCCAAATAGGATCCTCATCATTACACTGTTGGGCTTAGGGTAAATGAAGTGCCATTGATCTTACTGTATTGGTTGTCAAAGTGGATTCAGTGGACGTTGGCAAATCGCAGAAGGGTTCAGCAACACACACACGTGAGTGATTGTGTATGTGGTCTTGAGTGCAGCAGATGGGGGAAGAATGGTGAGGCCCAAAGGGGATTCAGCAGTTTCCCCCTCCAGCAGTTTATCTGAGAAGCTGTTTTGTGAGTGCAAGCAGAACATATCAAAACATTAATAAAAAAACAAAAAAGTTTGGCAGGGTCATAGGAGATGATTGAAGTTGGAGGTGCAGCAGAAATTATTCAAAAATAGACATAATGTTGAAATCAGTAATCAGCCTACCTGCCAAAAACAGTGTGTGCGCGGGGGTGGTGGTGGTATGGTTATATCAATTGGCTGGGGTGGTTGGTGATGCATGCTCTAAACTTGGCCATGCAAAGGGACCGCTGTGCACTGTTGACACTAGGAGCTCATCCTGTATCTGTTTTGCTGACATTGAGATCAAAATTGTTATGTTTTAATTTGTATTATGTATGTTTTTATCGTGTATATATGTCCTGAGCCTGCTTTGCGGGGAGGACAGGGTATAAATCTGACAATAAATAAATAAAATTCAAGAGGAGTAGCTAACAGTGGGGACCTCAATTAGTGTATGTGAATGCTGCAGGCCACCACATCCCTCTGTCTCTCTCACATTCATTCTGTCTGATTCATTATAATCTTGCCCATGCTCTTCTATACCAGGATTTGCGAACGCCCTGAAGATCCTGAACAAGGACAGCAGCCGGGAGGAGTTGCTGTCCTTCATCCAGCAGTATGGCTCCCACTACATAGCAGAGGCCCTGTACGGCTCTGAATTCAGCTGTGTCATCCACTTTCCAAGCAAGAGGGTTCAGCAACA